CTTTGAACACGTTATCAGGAAGGGACCAGTCCCTGGAGAAGGACGTAATGCTTGGTAAAATAGAGGGTCAGCAAAAAAGAGGAAGACCCTCAACAACATGGATTGACACAGTGGCTTCAACAATGAGCTCAAACATAACAATGATTGTGAGGATGGTGCAGGACGGGGCAGTGTTTCGTTCTGTTGTATGTAGGTTCGTTATGAGTCGGAACTGACTTGAGGGCAGCTAACAACAACGATTCTCTTACAGTGAATCTACTTTTTTAATGGCGACAGTGAGATACAATGTTCATGTTTTTGTCTATTTTTTTATTTTATTGTTCTGAGAGGCCCATCCCCCTGGTCGTTAGTTGTCTGTACTGAAACTGTCAAATACTGCCAGGTGGCCATTGAAGTTTTTATCGTTTTCCTAGTAATTTTTAATTGAAATACTTGAATTTTTTCAAAATAATCTCAATCTAAGATTTTCTAGTGTAAATTGATGTTTTCTCACTGAATGAGAAGACACTGAAAACATAGGGGCATTATTCGAAAGCAGAGCTTCATGTAATAAAAAACAGGTACACCATATGCTTTGGCCAAAAAGCTTGTAAAACTACTTCTAAAAATTGATAATAATTGTTTTGCTAGGAGAGCAAGGAGAATGAGCTATCGTCACAATTTTGTTATTAAATGACACTTTTGCTCTTTACATTAAAGTCTTTGGTCCTTCTTTCAGCTTAAGAAATTAAAATGTGATGAGTCTTTACCAAAATGTGATGTATCATTAGTTAAAATAGATAGTACACGTTTGCCAAATGCCCATTAAGTCTGTGATGCCAAGTGTTTAGTAAACAGTACCTTAAATAATGAGGTAGTTGCAATAGTGGGAAAAAACAAGCATACACGGTGTCTTGAATTAATGATGGATATTTTAAGAGATTTGTTTAAAAAAGGTCCCCCCCCCACCAGCAAACTTTGGGTGTGAGTGGTATCTGCCAGTCTGTTAACCTTTAAATTACAGACCATAATTTCTAACTGAACTGATTTGTATACCCGAATAGAACTATCAAACCAAAAACTCATTGACGTCATGTTGATTCTGACTCATAGTGACCCTGTAGGACAGAGTAGAACCACCCATGGAGTTTCCTAGGCTGCCACATCTTTCTCCCTCTGAGCGGCTTGTGGGTTCAAACTGCTGACCTTTCAGTTAGCAGCTGAGCGCTTAACCACTGCACCACCACACTAAACAAATCTCAAAAATCAGTAAATTAACTAATCATAGCATAATAGAATTGAAAAACACCCGGTCTGTGTGCTGGATAATTTTATAACCTTTTGATACGTAAGATGTATAAAATATATATTTAAGAGGAGCTACTTGAAGTCCCTGATGTCTCTGCAGGCCTTTATCTTGAGCGTCCAGTACTGCGACCCTTCTAGACACTGAAACAGGGCCTTGTTTGTCCATCCTTATTACACCACTTCCTATACCACCTGCATCCTCTGCTGTCCACTGTTTCTGGTATCCTAGGAAAAAGTAAAAACAGCCTTTCCGTATGAACAGTTTATACCTATACACAGATTTCTATGGGAAGATAAAACAGATTGGCTTTTATAACCAGAGGAAGTTAAGGTGCTTGGTTGCATCAGCATTAATATGAGGATGACATCTACGATAAGATATTTTAACCTAAGAAGATGAAAAGTATCCTTTTGGAAATACTAATACTTTAAAAAATATTGTTTGTTATGATACAGAATTAACATTAAGTCAATAAGTACTTTCTAGAACAATTAAAAATATAGGTTTTAATTTAGAATTGGATTGTTCAGTGGGATATGAAAATTATATTTTTAACAGAAAAATAATTTTCTAAAAATGTTTTTCTTCAGAAAAAGAACCTGCTTTTCCATGAGATGCTGCTTATTGGCGTATAGAATTCTAAATGTTTCTGAAAATCTTATTTCTTTGAAAATACAGCATTGATATGTCTAATTGAATAAAATATAAAAGCAAATATGTATGTAATTGATAAAACTGAAGCATAAGTGACCTAATTAATTTCTGGTTTTTTGATGTTTGATTTTTAAAGGACTGCTGAAACTGTGTAAGGCAGACACCATTTAAAATTTTCTTATAATATTACTGAATCACAGTTACAGGGTAGGTTTATGATCTGTTGTTATTAATATTGTTAGCTGCCGAAAATCAGCTGAAAGCCCAATAAAGTAATGCAAGGAGAGTAGAGAAGTTTACACAGAGCTGCAAAGCAGCCTAGTGCATGTGTATCCACTTTTACCCCCTTTGGGAAAAGTGAAGCTTATAGCATAGCTGTCCTGTCACCTAGAAACCTCAGTGGTAACCACTGGCAGAGCTTAAGCATTTAAACTGTATAGTGTAAAATAAATGAGTAACTTTTATAATTTGAGTAGAAAATATCAGTGCTATTCATCAGATACTGATTTCCAGTATGAAATTGTCACTTAAATTTTTATTTTTTCAGTCTTTCAGTGTTTTTAGAAGAAATTCTGTACTTATTGTATAAATCATACACATTTTAGTGTGCTTCTTGGCACTCAGTTACTCACTACTCTTAGTGATACAGTAGTGGGAGAGAAGGTTTATTTAGATCTGTTTTAAGCATTCATAGTCTTTTCTTTGACTCCTTATAGAGGCAAATTCTGTTGTTATTTTTCTCCATTTGGAGGAGCCGTTAGTATTTCCATTGAACTTATCTACTATTCAGTAATAATGTTGAGGTTGTTTCCTTAACATGGACGGTGGGGAGTTACAGTGGGACTCTGACTTATTTTTCATTGTCCTTTTACATTTAAAAATGGAAGTGGTAACGTGGTATATATAATGAAAGGTACAGTGAAGTAGGCATCTAGAAACCTGACTTAGTTTTGTTATTAAATAGATGGGTGATCTTGGTTATAAAAAAACAAAACAAAACACCAAACCCTTTGCCTTTTGAGTCAGTTCTGACTCATGGCAACCCCATATATTACAGAGTAGAACTGCCCCATAGGGTGTTTTTGGCTATAATCTTTACAGAAGCAGATCGCCGTTCTTTGACGGTGCTGCTGGGTCGGTTTGAAACACCAACCTTTAGGTTAGTAGCCCAGTGCAAACCGTTTGTGTCACCAGAGGACCTAGGTGGGATCTTGGGTAAGTCATTCAAATTTAGTAGGTCTCAGTTTCCTGTCTGAAAATGAGAGTGTTGAACTAAATGATATCTAAGAATTCCAGTTCTGATGTGAATGTGTCATATAAAAACCAGTATCACATTTCTGTAAATGTATGAAGTATCTCTCTGTGTGTTTCTTTAGGGTGGCCATTTTGCCCAGAAAAGGTTATTACAGACACTGTTTAAAAAATAATATATTTATTAAAAATTATACTTATTAAAATATGTATTAAATTAATTAAATATGTATATTTATTAGAGCTGTAAATTAAACACCTTACTTATACCTTAACTTTAAACTCAACTACAAATTTTAACAATCATTTTTAAGAGTTTTTTTTTTATAGGTTAAACTAACTGAAATTTAAACTGCATTTATAAATTTAGTATTCATTTTTAAGTACTTAAATTGTCTGATAAATCTTCCCAAATACTTAGCTCTTCTAATTTTGGCATTTGTGGATGTTGTACAATTTTAATACCTTTTCAGCTTAACATCATAAGCCTAAACCCGTTGTTCAATAGCATTTTAAATTAGAATCATAAATTTTATTTTTTGGATACTCTAATATGCAGGGTTTCTTAATCCAAGTTTTAAAAATATAGCAATTATATACCTGTAATATATACCTATGTAATGCCCACCCAGACCCAACACAAATTTATTAAAATTTGGGCTTAATTTGCTTTTTATTTTTTAATTTCCAACTTACACTCTTCCCCAAATGAAAAATTTTAAAAAATTATTATCATATCTGTTTTCTAAATCTCCCTGGGATAAAAGACCCAAGGACCTAATTTCACCATTGTGATTATTTGAGATTACTTTTCCAAGGAAATTTGGGGCTTTGTTCTTAGATGGCTGATGTTAACATTTTATAAAAACATGTGGGATCTAGAGCTGCAACATCCAGGATGACTTTTCTTATGAAAGTGGGGATGAGTTGAGCCTACTTTTATAGTCTCTGCAACAATGACTCTGAGGCCATGTCTTCCAAGAAGGGTGATCACAGAGCCCGACATCCCTGTATTCAAGTTCCGCATCACGTAATCCTCAAGTATGCAATCCCCACACCGAGGTCACTTCACTGAGTTGTTGCAATTAATCTGTTTACTGCTTGATTCTGTTCTGTATTCTTTTTATCTGTCAGGCTACAATATGTAAGTATTTAAAAAAAAAACTACTTAGATTTTGCGTATCTCCCATGTATTGCCTGGTTTTCTAAGGTCGTTCTCATGACAGCTTTAACTTCAGTTTTCTAGAACAGAAAGAATGTTTATATCCTAAAAAAATTACACTGAGACAGAGATTATATGCATTTGAATCACAAGGCTGAATTATTCCCATGTTGTACAGTGTGCTGCCTTAGCTCTCCAATTGTATTATAAGCTTTTGGCATGGACTGTATATCAGTGCTTTCCAGTGGAAATATAATGTGAGCCACATATGTGATTCAAAATTTTCTAATAGCCACACAATAATAAAAGAAACAGGTGAACTTAATTTTAGTAATCTATTTTTATAAAAAAAACTATTGTGATGTTGAGATGCATTCTTTTTTCATACTGAGTCTTTGAAATCCAATGTTATATTATACTCACTGCACATTCAGTTCAGACTAGCCACATTTCAAGTGCTCAATAGCCACATGTAGCCATTGGCTACAGTATTGGACAGTGAGATCTTAAATGTCCATAATTTAGTGCTAGTAACACAATAGGTTATGTTACAAGATTGGTGCTTTATGTGTGTTTTTTAGTTACAGATTTCTCTAATTGAATAAAACGAAATATTTAAAAATGCATGTTTTCTTTCTCTTAAAGGCCCTTCCTTCTTCCATGATTATAGTAGCAGTTTATTGTCCTGTGATAGCTGCTGTTTTCATTGTTCTGAAGATGGTCAACTATCGGCTACACAGAGCACTTGATGCTGGAGAAGTTGTAGACAGGAGTGCAAATGAGTTCACAGATCAGCGAGCCAAAGTTGAACAAGGCAACTGTTCAGCTAGGAGAAAAGACAGCAATGGGCCGAGGTAAGGAAACCTGTGTTACTCAGTGCAATGGTGTAAGTTATTATATATGTGTAATGATGTGATTATTGTATTGTACCTGTTCTATTTATATGGTTTTAAGGCAGTGTTGGGTCTTAATCACTGTCAATACAGTGAGAAGTACAGGATTGTAGTCTTAGAACAGAACAAAGCTAACTGACATACTTGGGGATTAAAGCAACATCCTTGACCTTATTACTAAATGACATGTTAAAACAATATGCTACCATATAATAGTTATTTATCTCAAAGAAATAGCTTATAAATCTAAGCATTTAATTTTTTATTTACAGATATAAGTGAAGTATATTTTATATCTTAAGCAAATTGTGATATTTTAATGGACATTTATAATCCATGTTTCTCACTTATATCTTTCAATTTTATATTTTTACCTTAGAAAGTAGGAGACCTGGTGGTGCAGTGGTTAAGCACTCCGCTGCTAACCGAAAGGTTGCTGATTTGAACCCACCAGCCGCTCTGCGGGAGAAAGATATAGCAGTCTGCTTTGGTAAAGCTCACAGTCTTGGAAACCCTGTGGGGCAGTTTTACTGTGTCCTGTAGGGTTGCTGGGAGTCAGAGTTGACTTGATGGCAACAGATGTGGTCTTTTTTTTGGTACCTTAGAAGCTTACCGTATTTTTACACAAATAACTTGTGCGTTCTGTGTTTGTTTGCCAGTCACACCCTCCTCCTGCAGGGTATTTTCATAAGTGTGCTATGCTATGTTTTTTTTTTACAGCAACATGTAAAAAAATTGGCATAGCGCTTACAAAAATACCTCGCTGAGGGAGGGCAAGGTTGGCAAACAAACATAAAATGCATGCATTATTTATGTAAAAATATGGTAGCTTTCCTTTCTTAAACCTTTGCGTGACTGACTTTTTAGGATTTAACTGTACATGTCACCTTCACCTGAAGGTTTTCCTCCCCTTCCCGCTTAAAGTATCCCCCCTGCCTGTCTCAGTCACTTTCTAACCCATTACCTCTTTTTGAGAGAGGGATCTAATTTATTCATAGTCAAAATTTATTGTGATCTCATAGAAATAATAGGTACCACTAATATAACTCTTAAAAAACAGTTACTACATGAGCACTTGTCATATGTAAGTTCATTCAATCATCAGTCTGTTCTATGAGGTAGATGCTATTATTATCCCTCTTTTATAGATCACTGGAAACTAAGACAAGAAAGATCAAATACTACAGGCAGTCAGGCTTCGGAGTCTGTGGTTTTAACCACTACACCATGTTTCCACTAAGTATAATAGGAAATATTTCAGGTGCCAAGGTATTTTTTCCAGTTCATTAAAGGCCCTTGTTACCCACTTTAAATTACATTTTTATTCTTGTCTATCTTACTTAATCACTTACTTGCATTTATAAGCATCTTGAAGGCAGGAACCTTGTTTTTCTTATAAACTACTACATTTCACAGAGCCTAATACAGTGTCTGGCACTGACAGATACTCAGTAAATATTTGAAGTAGTGAAAACATTTTTTCTATGATTATTTTATGTGACTGCGCGGTAGTCATTTTGTGAATGTACCATAATTTAACTATCCTATTTTTAGTTATTGCAGTTATTTTCAAACTTAAATTTAACTATTAGAAACATTACTATAATGTTTAAATTTTAAACATCATATAAACATGACTAAATTTTTTTACCATAATTTATCAGAGGTGGAATTACTAGAAAGTCTGCAGAATGTAGCCCTGTGCACTGTCTGCCTGGGCTTGAATCACTTGTTAACTGTCGCCTTTGGGAAATTACTTAAGCTTCTTATGCTGTTGCTTTTTCATCTGAATTATGAGACAATAATAGTACTGTCTCATAAGATTACTACAAATAATAAATAAGATAATGTATATAAAACACTTAGAACAGTTCCTAACACATAGTAACCACTTAATAATTGTTAGTGCTTATTATTTCCAGATATTATATATTTTTTATTGCTTCCATTACTGAATTGTTTTACAATTTTCTTTTATTAAAAAAATTTATTTTGAAATACATGCATTCTAAAAAGTATGTCAAATGTATGTATAATTTAGACAATAAAAAAGTGACTGCTTAATTACCTACTACACAGCTTAAGAAATAGGATATTATAAGTATCATACAAGCCCCATTTACTTCTTTCCCATTAATTCCATTCTTTCCCCTTTAGGAGTAACTATTATCTTAAATTTTGTATTAATAATCCCCTGGCTTTCTTTTATTTTTACACACTGAAACCTGTGAGAGCCGGAACTTGACAGAACTGCTTTGTTTTCTGGGTCTTGCAAGTTTTCTGCCTAAGACAGGGTGCAGTCTTACTACTTTTCTATTGCTCGTTTTAGTGGAAAGTATTTGCGTTTTCCTTCTCTGGCTTACACAGGTTCCGGCTTTTGCAGGTTTTACTATACAATGTTTGTAGGTATTCCTAAACATATATATTATTTGATTTTGTCTGCTTTAGGACATTTCCGAAAGACAGTCAAAGGACATGCAGTTTTCTGTGAGGGGCTCTTTTGCACAGAATTGTGTTTTATAGACTCATCCATGAGGCGAGATGCTAGTGGCTTTAGTTCATTCATATTTACTGTTGTGTAGACTACCACCATAGGAGTAGACCACAATTTATGTGTTCGTTCTCTGTTGATAGTCATTCAGATTATTTCCATAACACGTTATTGTATATGTCTCCTGGTACACATGTATATCTCTAGCGTACATAAAGTGGTTCATAGGGCATTTTCATGTTTAATTTTATTAGATAATTCCAAACTGTTTGGTAAATTATTGTACCAATTTACACTCTCACCAATAGAATATGGAAGTCCTTATTGTTTCATATCCTCATCAATATTTGATATTGTTAGATCTTTAAAAATTTGCCAGTCAGGTAAGTGTAAAATGTATCTCATTGTGACTGTTAGTTAACATTTCTTACTACTAATGAGATTGAGCATTTTACCATATATTTATGGTCCACTTAGGTTTTCTGTTCTTTCAGGTACCTGTTTGTGTCTTGTTTCATTTTTCTTTGGAGTTGTCTTTTTCTTATTGATTAATAGGAATTCTTTATATTCATGATACGACCCCTTTATTGATCATGTATGTTATCTTCTCACAGTTTGTGGCTTGTCATTTCACTTTGCTTAAGATTTCTTATGATTATCATACATTCTTAAATTAAGTATAATCAAATTTATTTTCTTGTGATTAGCATTTTCTTGTGTCTTGTTTAAGAAGTTATTTTTTACTCAGAGATCAGAAAGATATTCTCCTGTATAGTGTTCTAGAAGTTTTGTGGTTTTTTTCTTTTCATGTTTCAATTTTACTTGGATTTTTTTTTTAGTCAGATAGGGATCCTAGATTTAGTTTTTTTCATATTTCATTTTTACTTTTTTTCTCAGTACTTGTTAAACAGACTACCTTTTCCCTGGTGATCTGCAATACTCTCCAGCATAAATTAAGTTTCCATATATGGTGGATATGTTTTTGGGCTCTCGTTTTATTGATCTAATTGTTTTGCTTGTGCTATTACTGCACTGTCCTAACTACTGTGATTTTATGAAATGACTCTTGATATCTGGTGGGGCAAGTACCCTACTTTTTTTTTTTTCAAGAATGACTTTACTGTTCTTGGTCCTTTGCTCTTGTTGATATGAACTATAGAGTCTGCTAGGCAAGGTCTGCAAGAACTTGGAATTTTTATTGGAATTACATTGACTAGGTAGATCCCTCTGGTGAGAATTGATAGCTTTATGATATTGAATCAATTATTTAATCTTCTTTAATGTCTTTCAGTAAAGTTTTATGATTTTCTTCATTAAAAGGCTTATATAACTTTAGTTTTTTTGTTGTTAGATTGCCTCGAGTCAGTTCCAACTCATAGCAACCTTGTGTACAACAGAAGAAAACACGGCCCAGTCCTGCGCCATCCCCACAATCGTTGCTGTGTTTGAGCCCATTGTTGCAACCACCGTGTCATTCTATCCCCTTGAGAGTCTTCCTATTTTTCACTGACCCTCTACTTTACCACTTCAGGGACTGGTCCCTCCTGATAACATGCCCAAAGTACGTGAGAAAAAGTCTCATCATCTTCACTTCTAAGGAGCACTCTGGCTGTACTTCTTAGACAGATTTGTTTGTTCTTCTGGCAATCCGTGGTATATTCACTGTTCTTTGCCAACACTGTAATTCAAAGGCATCAATTCTTCTTTGGTCTTCCTTATTCATTGTCCAGTTTTCGTATGCATACCAGGTGATTGAAAATACTATGGCTTGGGTCAGGCGCACCTTAGTCCTCAGAGTGGCATCTTTGCTTTTTAACACTTTAAAGAGTTCTTTTGCAGCAGATTTGCCCAGTGCAACACATTGATCGATTCCTTGACTGCTGCTTCCATGGGTGTTGTCTGCGGATCCAGTAAAATGAAATCTTTGACAGTTTCAGTATTTTCTCCATTTATCACGATGTCATTTATTGGTCCAGTTGTGAGGATTTTTGTTTTCTTTATGTTGAGGTGTAATCCATACTGAAGGCTGTAGTCTTTGGTTTTCATCAGTAAGTGCTTTGAGTCTTCTTTGCTTTCAGCAAGCAGGGTTGTGTCATCTGCATATTGAAGGCTGTTAATGAATCTTCCTCCAGTCCTGATGCCACATTCTTCTTCACATAGTCCAGCTTCTCAGATTATATGCTCAGCATATTGACTGAATAAGTATGGTGAAAGGACACAACCCTGACGCACACCTTCCCTGATTTTAAACTACACAGTATCCCCTTGTTCTGTTCCAACAGCGGCCTCTTGGCTATGTATAGGTTCCGCATGAGCACAGTTAAGTGTTCTGGGATTCCCATTCTTTGCAGTGTTACCGGTAATTTGTTATGATTCACACAGTTGAATGCCTTTGCATAATTAATAAAACACAGGTAAACATCTTTCTGGTATTCTCTGCTATCAGCAGAGATCCATCTGACATCATCAGTAATGTCCTTCATTCCACATCCTCTTCTGAATCCGGCTTGAATTTCTGGTAGTTCCCTGTTGATGTACTGCTGCAACCGTTTTTGAAGTATCTTCAGTAAAATTTTACTTGCATATGATACTAATGATATTGTTCGATAATTTCTGCATTCTGTTAGACCACCTTTCTTTGGAATGAGCACAAATATGGATCTCTTCCAGTCAGATAAATCTACTTTTGTTAGATTTATCATATTGTTTGATAGTTTTTCTGCCAATGTATTTTTTTTTTTTTTTTGGTATAATTACATTTTCTGTTTTTCTCTTAAATGTAGCAGTTTACTTGGTGTTTAACAACCTCGTTAAACTCCTTCATTAGTAATAATGCTTTATGGGTTATTTCTTGATGTTCTATAAATGATGGCATTTTTTTTCTTCCTTTCTGTTTCTTATACTTCTTGTTTTACTTTTTCATTGGCTGTGATTTCTAGTACATGCCTAGATTGAAATAGTATTGGTGAACATCCTTGTCTTTCGTCTCAACTTAAAGAGAATAATTTTAAGTTTCAGTCTTAAATAAGATATTTGTTGTAGGTTTTTAGTTTTGACATCTCCTTTGTTTTTATCTACTGATACTATTATGAACGTCATTGTAACCTAGGTTATATTTGTAAGTTTAGTATTGTAATGGTGCTGGGAAGTTTCTGATGAAAGCCTAAGCAGTTTAATGATGCTAACAGATTCGTTCATGACATCTTCTCTATAATTCAGATTAGACCCCTGCTGCTTTTCTGCCTTTCCCTGTACCTGGTATTTTTTTTTTTTAACAGGTGGGGAAATTAAGGCATAAAGTTAGAGGTCCCCTGAATTTGGTGTATTGCTTACTGCAGTAGACCAGTTTGCTTCTGTGAGAATTATAAACCACTATACTTTCCAGGTATGTGCTGAAATCTCAATTGCTGAAAGCCTGCAAGTCTTGCTAATAAAGAAAACTCTTTCTTAGCCATTTTGTATGTTAACTGTATTTAGGACATCTGTGGCTTGGCTAAAAGTTATACTTCTGAATTTGTGGAGAAGAGAGAGGTAAAGAAATTTTGCTGAAGGATGTTTAATAGAAGGAGCCATCCATTTTACCCCATCTTTTTTTGTTTCCTTAATATTTCCTTTTTTTCCACTTTTGATATTGACTATTGACCATTAATTCTAGATCAGTAGTTCTCAACGGAGGATGATTTTGTCCCCCAGGGAACATTTGGCAATGTCTAGAGACATTTGTGGTTGTTGTAACTGTGGAGACTATTTCTGGCCTCTAGTGGGTAGAGGTTAGCGATGCTGCTAAACATCCTACAGTGCACAGGACAGGCCCCTCAACAGTTATATGGCCCTAAGTGTTTTGAACTGGAAAGAAGACTTCATTGTCTTATTTGTTGAAAAGGCAATGTGGTTTTTTAGAAAGAATGTGGGCTTTGGAGTTGTACAGACCTGGTGTTCAAATCTTGTCTCAGTCCTTACTGATTATAAGTAATGTATGTTCAGGAGTGTAGGGGAAGAGAGAACAAATAATGATAACATGTTGAAGAGTGCTGAGTAAGTATTATTTGCAGCCTCTTTCCACCTCCACCTGAACTCCATGGGCTATTTCTGTAATTTGCGAAAGCCTTCTTTAAAACTCTTGAACAGAAACACTTTCCTTCATTATAATACATAACAATAAATGGAACTTGTTTCATGGTCTTTACTAGCTAATAGCTATACCAGTGAATCAGTTTATGTTGCTCATTCCTCTGAGACCTTAGGCAGATTTTTATACTTTTTGATTTTTAATTTTTTATCTGTAAAATGAGGGTAATATATTTAAATCACAGGTTTTAGGGATGATTTCATAAGAAAACACAAATAAAGCATATATCTCTACGACTGGAACTTAGTAAATATTCAGTAAATATTTGTTTTTATTGATGAGTAATAATGCTTTGCATTCAGAGTATAATCATTTGGACTTGCTATCAGAAGTGACGTATAAAGATTGTCCATCAGTACATGAATGGATAAACAAAATATGGTACATCCATACAATGAATTATTATTTGACATAAAAAGGAATAAAGTACTGATACATGCTACAGCACGGATGGACTTTGAAAACATGATGCTAAATGAAACAAACCTATCACAGAAGACCACATATTATATGATTCCATTTATATGAAATGTTCAGAAGAGGCAAACATGTAAAGACAGAAATTAGTCGTTGTTGAGGACTAGGGGGTTGGGAGGGCTGGGGAATGCTAGCTAAAGGGTACAGGGTTTCTTTTTGAAGTGGTGAAAATGTTCTATTCTTGACTGTGGTGATAGTTGCATGTATCTGTGAATATACTAAAAACTCTTGAATTATACTCCTTAAATGGGTAAATTTTACAGTATGTAAATTATATATCAATAAAGCTGTTATATATTTTTAAAAAACAAAAAACTAGGCAAGATGAGGACTCTCTCTCCTTTCTGTGGTGTTGTGTATTTTATTCCTTAATCTTCACCTTGTCCATCTTTTGATCTTATGGAATCTGATTTAGAGAATGCATTCCAATGGATATAATAGTAATATTGGTGGTGATTCCTACTTCATTGTGGTTGTAGCTTCCTCTCTATGTGTACCCAAGATTTTTTCAATTTATAAAAATAGCTTCTCTTTCTGGCCTGCGTAGCTTGTATGAGTTAAACTAAGCAGCCAATGAATGAGCATATTCCACTCTTCTCACACATGGGTATTTAAACTCTGACTTAGCCATCAAAGTTCTAGTATATCCTGTTTTTATAAATGGATAGCAAGTTAGAAAACTATTTTTCCTTATTGGACATTAGTTAGCTAACTAAAATCAATTGGCCCTAGAGTCAGGAATCCATTGTGCAAACAGGGATATTATAGTTATGAGACCATAAATAATAAAAACACACTGGAATTCAAACTGCTATAGTGATAAATGCTTAAATGGAAGGTATGCTTGCAAGCAAATTCTACTTTGCCCATTTCTTTTGATTGCAGTTGTCAGAATACCTACCCTAAACCAGTCTAAGGGATTTATGGCTCACATTACCTAAAAGTCTGCATGTGAAGGATGTCTTCAGATGTGGCAGGCTGCAGAATTTCCAACAGTCTCTTTATGGATGGCCCTCCCTGCATCTTTTCTTTCAGCCAGACTCTGCTCTTTTCCATTAGTTGACTTCTTAGGCAGGCTCTCCCCTAGTGGTTGTAAGATGGCTGCAGCACCTCCAGGCCTTATGTCTTCTCATCAGTGCCAACAGAAATAGAGAATGTTTCTCTCTCAGCAGTGGAACACTCCTGGCCTTGTGTGTTGGGTCATGCACTAAAATCCCTATGGCCAGAAAAATGGAATATGCTGATTGACTCTGGCCAGTCAACATTATCCAAAACTGTATGAAGTCTGGGATGAGGTGGTTCACCAGAAAAAATCTGGGTTACTTTTTCATGCAGCTCAGACTGTCTACTGTGGCAGAGTAATAACTGATTCTGTTTTTATGTTTGGCCAATTTCTCTTTCTCTGCTAGAGTCATTTTATGGCACATATCATAAAATGTTTGTTATGCTGTAATTGTTATTAAGGCCAGTTTCTAATGCTGAATTGGGTGAACACAGTTTGGGATAAGAGAGTCTTTAAATATTTTCCAAGCAGTGTCATGATTATAAAATAGTTCAGATTATCAGACCAGGGCTCCATCAGACTTAAAAGTGAAGAATGATCACTAATCACTTTTTTTTTTTTAAAGCTATTTGCTCTTTTATAAGTCACAACCCCTTAGTTTTATAGAAAAATTACAGTAGCTTAAAAAAAAAGAATAAAATCATTGGTATCAGAATGACAGTTATTCTTCTTTTCCTCATTTTTTTCCCCCACAGTGATCCTGGTGGAGGGATTGAAATGTCTGAATTCATTCGAGAGGCCACACCCCCAGTTGGTTGCAGTTCAAGGAATTCTTATGCTGGTCTAGATCCAAGCAACCAGGTAAGAACCTGTGCTATTCTACTTTGCCTTTTCCCTCCTCCTGATGATGGTCCCAGGTAATCTCATGTCTGTAGCTGTCCGTTGATGTTTGGGTTTATCGTTTTTTTGTTTTTTTATTTATAACATCTTTTATAATATTGTTATTTTTAATGACTTTTCATGTTAAGTATGTTTTTGCTGAGCACGTACCACATGCTGATTGCTTGGATATACAGTTTTGAGCAAGACCGTTATGGTCAGAGCTCTTATGAATCTTAGCTTCTGGCTTGTGCACTCTCCTTTACCTTCACATCATCCCCGTTTTTGAGGGATAGAGATCTGTGGTTTAAACATGGCAAAGAAATGAAATAAGTTGCACAAAATCTCACAGTGCTCAAGGTGTTGATAGTAGGCCTAGAAGTAGAATTCAGATCTGCTTTTGCCAGTTTTAACATCTTTCTGCTGTGTAACTTTTACTTTTAACCTAAATAGTTTATCTCTGAAAATATTATCTCAAAACTTGACTGAAGCCTGCTGTACTCTCATTCTCTCTAACCTCGCCTGGGCCTTTGCTGCTACAATTCTTTTATTCATTCTAAATTAACTCTCTTATTGAATTCTTCTCATTAACTCTTTTCAAACATCTTCCATGCCAATCAAAGCTCCAGTTATTCCTGCTTGCCTTCCTCTCAAGTGATTTCACGAGTTAAACTCTATGAGCATGTGATGGTAACCTTTGTGAAAAAACTTTAGAGGTCTTCTCATAGTAGAACTTTAAGATCACTGTGGGTTTTAGTGTCATTATTTCAGCCCTTTCATTGTAAGGAAGAAGAAACAGCTGATTTATATCAGGATCTAGGCTAACCCTCACCTTGTTGCCCCTTTCTTTTGCAGATGGAGCACTTATTTATGGTATTTATTTAGCACTTTTTTAGTGCATGGTGATATGTAGCAGTTTATAAGTCTCTACAGAGTACATTTTCCTCCTTTGTCCATTGCCTAGTACACTGCCTTGTGCACAGTAGACTTTCAGTTAATGATTGCTCATTATCTCTATCTGTATAGATAATAAGACTTTACAGCTAGAACTGGACCTAGCTCTTCATTTAACAAATGAGTAAGTTGCTGTTTGTTGCTGTTGAGTCGATTCTGACTCATGGTGACCCATGTGTTCAGAGTAGAAATTGCTTCATAGGATTTTCAAGGCTGTGACCTTTAGGAAACAGAGCACCAGGCCTGTCTTCTGAGGCATCTCTGGGTGGATTCAAACCACCAACCTTTCAGCTAGTAGTCGAGTACTTAACTGTTTGTACCACTCAGGCCCTGCAGCACCTAGTTCTCCTAACACTCGCTATTTGTCGTTACTTTGTCTGCATTGTTAGCCCTGTACTATCTAAGAACAATACTATGAAAAGACACTATTTTCTATGAGTTAAAATCTTGATCAGGGTCTTGTTTCCTAGGGTATTTTGATAGAAGATTTGCCTCTATTTAAGTTACCTTTCATGATGTAAACTTCAAGTGAATTTTGAATTTTGGTAACAGTTTTAGTTATGATTAATTGTAATACAGAAAAAAGTACATCTTTTAAATTGTCTTATAGGGTCACTATGAGTCAGAACCAACTCGACGGCAATGAGTTTGGGTTTTTTTTTGGTTTTTCCTAACAAGCAGATGGAGTGAGACATGATTTCGAGTTTAAAAAAAAAAAAAACAACTAAAACATTGTGGAAAATGGTTGTGACTTATTAATTAGGTTGCTACCTTCATTTTTTTAAAGTTTCACTTTTTACAATACCAGTTTGAAGAAAGTGTTACTATCCTTGATCCTATTTTTTTTGTTGGCCTTGTGTTTTTCTCAGTTTCTTTTTTAGAGAAAAAGATGATTTAATCCTTAAATACACATTTTGTATTCTTAATCAACTTTGTCTTCTCTTCTTATTGACAAGTGTAGGCAATGTCAGATTACCCCCCAGAAAGCCTGCATTTTTCTAATTATCTTTTGGAGAGCCACACCTTTTTTATTTTTTTTCAGTAGAATAGGTGAAAGAGCACAGCAGTGGCCACCCACTTTTGGAGACTCTGCTCTTGGCATTGTATCTACTGGAGCTTACCCTACTTATTTCAGGAGAGAATCCCATCTTGAATGTAATTAATGTGTATGCACACATAAATGTGTAGCATATCTATTTTGGTTTTCCTTAAAATAATAACTCTTGGAAAAAAATGGGCAAATATTGGAGGCTATTATGCTACTTGGATTTTGATGTTTTAGTTTTATACTGTTTATGACAAAAGAAATGGTTGACATAATTATTGTTACCCTTTAGAGAAGTTGAAGTGAAGGAGTCAGGCTTTTTGTGTATCGGCAGCAATATTATTGATAAAGGCATAACCACTGTTTCATGAACGTATTTTATTATATGGCAGTCATACATTATCATCATTATTTGTTGATGTAAATGTCTTCTGTCCTTGAACACGTTGGCTATGTCTTAGTCATTATTAATGTCCTTTTCTTCTTGCCACCTCTGTCCTTCTTCCTTCGCTCTTCTACTCTCCATTTCCCCTCCTTTACTTTTTTCCCTTTATTTTCCTCTCCCTTTTGTCACTTGTCTTCCTGTTCAACAACTGTATTCAAGGCACTTGACTTGGTTTTCAGGGTGTGGAGTGGGTCTTATCACCACAGAGTTTGCAGTCTCATAGTAGATGTATATTTCAGAGGAAAAAATAATTATTTCTAGCTAGAGAGAGGCAAGGCTTTGTGGAGGAGGTGACCTTGCCTGATAGGTTCTCTAGTTGGAAGTAATGTCTTTCTTCTCTGACATCCATAATCCTTCCTAGACTTTTTCCTATGGCACTTCTCAAAGAGAAGAAGCACTAGACTGTTTTAGTTTGTGTAAACCACTTAAAAAATTTCACCTCCATATGTATGAAGACACTATTTTTGTTAATCTTTTCTAAATGTGTTCATTTTTATAGAATTTAACAAATGACGGTAAGCAAAAAGAAGAGCTGAACAAAAGCATCCATAAAGAACAGAATCATACAAAATGTCCTCAAAAAAAGTTTTTTAAACAAAGTAGGTTTATACTGTGCATACTGTTTGGAACTTGATTCTCTTTTTTGAATATATCCTGAGCATATTAATATCATTGATAGTGGCATAGTAAATGTCATATTCAGTGTGGGAGTTCTACCAGTTGCTGAGTAACTCTATGCCACTTACACATTCTGGAACTGAAGAAATCACTACAGGATGGGTTTGGGGACTGTTGGACCCACTCTGAGGAGCCCTGGTGTACAGTGGTTAAAGCGCTTGGCTGCTAACCAGAAGGTTGGCGGTTCAAACCCACCAGCCGCTCCACAGGAGACAGATGTGGCAGTCTGCTTCCGTAAAGATTTACAGCCTTGGAAACCCTATGGGGCAGCTCTGCTCTCCCCTACAGGGTTGCTACGAGTCAGAATCGACTCGATGGCAGTGGGTTTGGTTTTGGTTTTGGTTGGATCCACTGTAAATCAGACCTGATCTAAAACTCGGCTGATCACCTGACCTCCATACATCCCTACTCTGACTGGTAGATCACAGTGATGTTTAGGTCTCCTGGGAGTAGTGTCAGTTCAGAGCCAGTGGTCAGTAATCCCTGAAAAGTCTAATTATTTCCTTTCCCCAGTGACCAGTTACCCTGGTAAAAGGCCATAGACCTCTTTGGGGAAGGCTGGGAGAAAGATTAACAGTATCAATTTTTGGCAGTGTAGCGAGGTTCTTTCTTAAGGTGACCTGACCTTCCCTTCATTGAAGGAGTTGTGGGTCTGTAAACTGGCTCAAGTCTGGGAATTGATTGAGGAGCTGTGACTCTGTTTTTGTGATTCAAGTTAGACCTCTGTTCACTAAACCTAGAACTCTTCCATTTATACAGATCAAGTAAATATTTAGTAGACTTCCTGTCTGTTTCACTCCTAAGGACACCAGGGATCTCTTAAGCCAACTCCATAGACTGTTAGAGTCAGACTATTCTGATTACCGCTTCAACTCTGCTGTCTATCACAGAAACCACGCTCACCTTGTCTTTGGTGATGAAGTGCTGCTTTGCCCCTGCACCTGGGATCCAGTTACCCTCATTGCACTTAAATTTCCCAATTCAGTGTCGGCATTTCCCACTGTAATATCTGACCTGCAGAGAAGAGCAGTCACAGTGCTCTTTAAGGATGCTGCGGCTTCCTTCACAAATTTATTCCTCACAGTTGTGGTGAAAGGTGTGTTGTCTGGACACTTCTGGGGTGGGTGGGTGGGTCTGGCATGATAAATCCATTCTAACATTCTGATTTTTTTTAAGCCTTTGGATACCTTTGTCTACAGTATACCAAGGCAGTTCTCGTATTTCAGCTTTATTTAGTGCAGGCCACATTTTGGTCCATGTTTTAGCCAACCAGCTGAACAGGCTGTGACACTTGGAGAACGTATTGCATTCTTTTATTTGGATGTACTGAAGTTCATATACTGATTCTCCTATTGTTTCAGGTGTAAATACTTACTCATGCCCACTCATGATTATTTTTCAGGGGGTGGGAGATGAAACTTAAATAATACAGAAAAGCATGAAGAATAAAATCTAATCACCCATTGTATCAGTTAAAAATGCTTTTGTTAGCAAGTAAGAGAATATTCAACTAATTGTGACTTAAAGAAATGGGTATTTATGTTCGCTACCTAAGGTCTGGAGGTGGTGGTGTGACATTTATAAAGCAGCTCAGTACGGCTATGGCTCTGGGTTGGCATTTCCACAATTCTCTTGGCTTTTTCCTTAAGGTTGCAGAATGAGTACAACAACTTCAGTCATGACTGTTGAGGAGTAAGACGCACACAAAGGCGTGGGGCAGACAGATCCTCCCTGGTCTTTTTCTTCTCAGACATGGAAAAACCCTTTCCTGAAGCCGACTTTACTGTACATTCATTGACCAGAACTGAGTCATGTACCTGCTTCTGGACAAGGGACTAGGCCTACTTCTCATAGATGAAAAGACATGTGCCCAATATCTGAACAAAATGGGAAGCCTGTTAAAGAAAGAAAAAAGGAACATTGAGGTCGTGATCAAATGATGACTGCCATACCCTTATTGAAAAAAATTTTTTAAGTTTAAATTTCTAGAAGGATGTGCACAGAGCAGTGCTTTTTTTGTTTGCTTGTTTGTCTTTGAATTTCTGTCTGGGAGGTTATGTGTTTATTATTCTAGTAGAAAAGTAACTTACGTCAGTTCTGTAACTTGTCTAGCAAGTGTGGTAGGAATGGAACTTTATTTTGCAGCAAAACGCTCTTTGGCTTTTTTCTTTCTGGCTAATTGCAGTGCTTTTTATGGCTAATTGAAAGCAGACATGAAAAACTAGGAGAATCAAGTTTAATAAACAGTTCAAAAAATATTGCAAAGCTTATTTTTTATCAGCTACATTAAGAGGTTATTAATAGTTTCAACTATCGTGTGTGTCTATTTTTACTTCTTCACTGACATGACATATACAGCATAGTGCACAAATATTAAGTACAGAGCTCAGTAAACTTTTACATATGTATACCTGTTGCCATCGAGTTGATTCTGACTCATACTGACCCTATAAGACAGATTCAAACTGCTGCATAGGGTTTCCAGGGAGCAGCTGGTGGACTTGAACTGCCAACCTTTTGGTTAGCCGGCAGGCTCTTAAACACTGCACCACCAGGGGTCCTTACATACGTATACACTCGCGTAATTGGCATACAGATCAAAAAAGTCCCTCGTGGCCCTTCAAAGTTAATATTAATCTATATTGTAAGCGATTTCATGTTGTATACTTCAGTTAAATTGAATCAATGAAAGGAAAGACTTTGTAATATATTACGTATTATATGAATGCTCTTAATTTTATCCTGTTATGATTACTTGCTGTGGAGTTGATTCTGACTCATGGTGACCCTATGTGTACGTAGTAGAATGGCTCCATAGGGTTTTCAAAGCTGTGACCTTTTGGAAGCAGATCGCCAGGCCTGTCTTCTGAAGCCCTCTGGGTGGGTTCAGACTTTATCCTAAGAATCTGAATTTGCCTGACTGTTTTCTTCTTTGAATCTCTTGAAAACAGTTACTGAGACTTACAGATTTAGTAACTTGTTGTATTTGGTTTCCTTAATGTGTTCGTGGAATTTGTGGTATTTGTTTATATGATCTTTATGGTAATATAGTAAATGATGGCTTTGAAATTGTAGAGAAATGTTATACCATCTAAAATGTCTGCAGTCAGATTTTAGTTTTCAGTTTATAGTTTGTGCTAAAAATTCATTTTTTGTGGATGCTTTAGTTTTTTATTTTAAATTTGTTAAGTTAGTCTGCAAAAAAGTACTTTTTTTCTGAAACTCAAGAAAGTACATATTAAACGCTGATAATTTTTTTTCTCTTTTCCTTTTTTTTTGAAATTTGTTGTGCTTTAGGTGAAAGTTTACAGCTCAGGTTAATTTATCATACAAAAATTTATAACACATATTGTTATGCAACACTAGTTGCAATCCCTATAATGTGACAGCACACTCCCCCTTTCCACACTGAGTTTCCCCGTGTCCATCCAACCAGCTCTTGTCCCTTCCTGCCTTCTCATCCTGCCTCTGAACAAGAGCCGCCCGTTTGGTTTCCTGTATCTACTTGAATTAAGAAGCACACTCTTCACGAGTATTATTTTATGTTTTATAGTCCAGTCTAATCTTTGTCTGAAAGAGTGGGCTTCGGGAATGGTTTAGTTCTGGGTTAACAGAGAGTCCGGGGGCCATGGCTTCGAGGGTTCCTCCAGTCTCAGTCAGACCATTAAGTCTGGTCTTTTTATGTGAATTTGAGTTCTACACCCCACTTTTCTCCTGCTCTGTCAAGGACTTTCTACTGTATTTCCTATCAGGGCGGTCATTGGTGGTAGCCAGGTACCATCTAGTTTTTCTGGTCTCAGGCTGATGGAGTCTCTGGTTTGTGTGGCCCTTTTGTCTCTCGGGCTAATATTTTCCATGTGTCTTTGGTATTCTTCATTCTCCTTTGCTCCAAGTGGGTTGGGACCAATTGATGCATCTTAGATGGCCGCTCACTAGCTTTTAAGACCCCAGACGCCACTCACCAAAGTGGGATGCAGAACATTTTCTTAATAAACTTCGTTACGCCAGTTGACCTAGATGTCCCCCAAAACCGTGGTCCCCAGACCCCCACCCTTGCTACTCTGTCCCTTGAAGTAAACACTGATAATTTGACAGCAAGATTTAGGTTGCACTTGGTAGCATATGTTAATATGTCTGATAAGTCTATGTTTGTTTTAGATAGACTCAACACATAGTTTTGCTTTTGTTCATAACATGAACATGTCATGGTGATAATAGTTCTATAACACAGGCTGCTTTTAAGTTGGAGGCATCTGGCCCTGGGGCTCCAGCAACCCTGAGCATCCAGAGGGAGTCAGGATCTCAGCACATCTGAAATATATGCAGGGCATGTGCCACAGCAAACAGGTTGTGTGTTGTGATATAGTATGCTCAGTGTGTGTGTGGAGGGGGGAGGAGGGTAGCTTTTTATATTGATAAAAGGGACTAATAACATGTTTTGATAATATGATAATTTTGTTTGATAATCTTGCTTGTTTATATAGATGATGATATATAGCTAACATTTTAATTAGTTTTGTTTACGTCATGTCATGTTTTCAGATTGGATCTGGTTCCTCTCGTCTTGGAACAGCAGCAACTATTAAAGGTAGATGTGAGCTAACTCGAAAGTTGCCTCTGACTTTCTATTTCCTTTTTGATTTTAATAAAGATAACTGAGTGTCATACGTTCAAATGTAATGAAAAATCAGTCTGGAAATTATTTTATAGATAAAATTATATACCTTAATATTAAAGGTTACTTGATTTAAATTGTGGTCCACTTTCATTATCCAGATTTCACAGAAGTATTTGATCACTTGCATTGCATGAATTACAATTTTTGATCTATGAGAAACTTCCTTGCTTTGAGGTAGAATTCTTTCATGGGGTTTGGTGTGGCTTATGGAAAACTAATTTTTGATGTAGAGTCTGTAAGTGTGAGTGCAAATGAGACACTTAAGAAAAAGTTTTTTCTGCCTTTTGTTTTCTACATCTACTTCGCATAAATTTGTATTATTTTTACCCTCCAATTTTTTAGCTTACTAATTTTCTTTGGAAAAGAAATAATATAATTTGTGTTTCTTTTTCAAAACTGCTTGTCTTTGAAGAAATTGTTTTATCAGCTAACACTGTGAAGCTTTCCACGGTGTTTGGTTGCAGCACTCTGAGAATAATGATGTGGTCTGATAGTCCATGATGCTTCTTGTTCAGTGCATCTTCCATTATTATAACCCTTGCTAATCAAAAATTACTTCAGTTGGTAGAGATCTACATGTTCCTTGATGTCCTTTCTTGGTTATGCCAAATGATATAGCCTTAACTTTTATGTAATGTCCTCACTTGTTTCTGTTAACTTTATAGGCGATACAGACACTGCTAAGACTTCTGATGATATCAGTTTAAGTCTGGGCCAAAGCTCTAGTCTTTGTAAGGAAGGAAGTGAAGAACAAGGTAAGAACACTGTACTTTACCATGTTACATATTGTGGTTACCAGGGTGAATTTGTGGAATACTTCGCTCACATTTTGGCAGACGTATATAATAATTTAATGTGATAATTTTAAGAAACACTAAAATACAATGATTTACTGGGCTAGTGGTAATATAGGGTTGTAAGCGCTTTTAGCTAATTGGAATTTAATTATACATGTTCTGCCAAATAACCACGGAGAGAGAATTTTTATGAGCATACGCCCCCCCAGAGTTAGTGTGAAGTGGGAGATAAGGATCTGTTATTCCTGTAGTTGGTCAGATCATCTTGCCCAGTTTAGTGATAATCTAGTGTGTAAAGCTATCATTTTCCGCTCAGTATAGCCTCTAAATGCCAACTGCTTCATCTCTTGCTCAACTGCGGAAACCATGTGTTATAACAGAGAAATAACTTGCTGTGTTAGACTTACTGAGAAACTGTGTGTCTGCCTCCAACACGGTACCTTCCTGTACCAGATTTTTAATTGATTTTTTTTTTTTAAATTGTACTTCAGGTGAAGGCTTACAGAACAAATAGTTTCTCATGAAACAGTAGTACA